CCACAGGGCCGGAGCAGCTACAGAGAAGGCCCTCCCCTGGGGGGCCGCCAGCTGGCATTGTCCGGCCGCCGGCACCCAGAGGAGGCCCAACCTGTGAGATCTTGTTGGTCGTTGGGAGGTATGGATAGCAGTGAGCATCAATTTGCCAATGTTCTCACCTATCACCCATAGCAAGGCAATGCACAATAACAAAGAATATGGAGTGTAAAGCAAAATGAAATTAATACAATAAAAATCAAAATTGACGATAGATGTTTTACCAGCAAGTGACTTGAACATAAAAAAAGAGCCCAGAAAAAATTCAATTAATCTATTATTGACGTCTAGACTACCTTGATTGCCCTGATGTCTGAGAGGGATGGAGGGAGAGAGAGAGGAAGGCCATCAGCACCCATCACTTCCCTGAAGCAGCCAGGCTGCAGCCTTTGAGTATCTTTCTCCTTACCCTTTGATGCTAAAAGCATCTCGCACGCAACCCCTAACATCCCAAGGGACACGAAAGAGATAACTTAAGTAGTAACTGTAACTTTACAATTAATGCATTTTCTGAAGAGTGAATGATAATTTACCAGGATGGTGCAGTGTATTTCTGAGCAAAATCTGAAACACAATCCCATTACCCATATACCTTTTCTCTTTAAATAACTATTTTTTTTCTTAACAGTGCCATTGTAAAATTAGGGAAGGCTGTTTGACTCAGCTTATAGATAGGCAAAATGATGTGAAGGCAGTGCCAGCATCTTCTAAAAACAAAGGAGTTGGGGAAAACTTCCTGTTGCAAATTTGAGGTAATTTCCTCATCCCATCATACTGAAACTAAGGGCAACATATCTGGCTATTTTCTAAGTCTACCAATCTCTTTCGTGACCCGACAAATGCGCGCACGACAAAAGCGCGCCGACAAAAGCGTGGTGACAAAACCACGACGTCAACGCGCCGACAACAGCACGGCGACAACAGCGTGGCGACAGAAGCGTGATTTAAGTTAAGGTAAGGGTTAGAGTTAGGGTTAGGTTTAGAGCGCGCTTCTGTCGGCGCGCTGTTGTCGGCGCGCTTCAGCGCTTATTCGTCAGCGTGGTTTGGAACTCACAGTTTTGTCACCGCGGTTTAGTCGGGCGCGCTTTTGTCAGTCACCCTTTTGTCGGTGAACCATCTCTTTTAGATAAATGGGTTGCTCAGATTGTCTTCTGCTTGTGCCAACCAATGAATGGAACCCCTTTACTGGTCACAAATAGATTCAGGTTTTAACATTTTTATTTTATTGTTTCTTAGTGATGCTAATCAATTCAACAGTAATTCTGACCCTCTTTTTTGACATATCAAAGTTAAAAAGAAACATTCCAATATTTGCTTTCATAGAGTTAGGGTGAGCAGTGGGATTGTCTTGGCCTTGAGTCTTACAGTAGGAAATGGTATAACAAGCAGCATTCATATTTTGTGTTTTGTACAGTATGGGAAGCAATTATATATAAATTATCAAGAAGCTCTGAAAAGGACAGAATCAGCATATGATTGGACATCCCTATCCAGTTCCAGTATTAAGTCTGGATCCAGCTCATCTAGTTTACCAGGTAAATTCCAATAGACCAATCAGTGCAAATAGCTGTTTCTATTTGTTTCTTTTTATTGAAAATTTTAGGAAAATTTTTTTTTTACAAATGTTTATCTTCCCCTCCCCACCCAAACCCTCCCCCCCCAAC